TTGAGCTGTGGTTCTTAGCTTCTTGTTTGGAATTAAACGAGAGCGGTGATTAAAGCTATGAGTAGAATCTGTTTTTAGTTTAGTTAGCCAAAAGCATCATGTTTTTTTCTTGTTTTTGTGCCTTCTTTAACATCTTTGTTGGTTTTCCCAACACGTACACCTGCTGAGGGTGAGGTGTGAATATTTAGGAACTACTAAGCTCAAAGTTAAAACTAGTCTGTGGGGTACAACATGTTTTGATGTAGTAATGTGTGACCCTGAACTTAGTATACATTTACACCATAACTAGCCTACATTTTAACTTACAAGTGTGTTCTTGTGCATCTGTGGAAACTGCTAAATGCAAGGAGATACCTGGATAGCAAAGCTAAGCTGTTCTGTACAAATTGTAAAATCTGTAAAAATTAATCTTGCAACACGTACTACTGTTAAAGGACTAGTGAGCATAAAATCCTGCTAATGGGAGCTAGTGTAGCAGCTAGCTAATGTTTAAAGACCTTGAATTTTTTGTTGTATTTGAGGTTCTAAAAATTTTTAAGAAAAATTTTTAAAAAAGATTTGTGGACATCATCATGTCTTTGTAGTGGGGCTTTTATTTTGCTTATAACGCCAATAGCTGGAGGCTAACTGGCTGACTAAAGCTACTTTATTGTGCAATGACTATAACAAAGTTTGTGTATTATACATCATAATCTTTCGATTGTTATGTATTGAGATGCAGACATCCAATCAGTGTTTTGCTAAGACAATCTAATGAGATTCAGTCTTACAGTATTGACTAGAACAAGGGTTTTCAAATGTTTTTGTGCCAGCACCCACAGCACTGTTTGTTCTGAGGCACACAAAGTACTTAGTGAAGTGAAATAAGACCTAAACTTGTTAAATACTCATGCTTTCAGTTCACTTCAGCTCAAGGTTGATGTTCATTCAGTCCACAAATGCAATTCTGAATATGACAAAAAAGGTTGCTAGTTACGTATTTAATGAGGTTGTGGAATAGAAAAAAATAATGATAACACTTATTTTTTTAATTAATTTCAATCAGTGAGCTAGCAGTGTTCACCATTACTTTCAGTGTAATGATCATTAACCACGTTTACATGCAGCCTAATAATCCGTTAATAATCTGACTAATAACTCAATCTGAATCGAACACATCTATACACCTCAACTGGAGCAGTCTAGTCCGATTGAGGCCATTCAGAATACAATTTCTACTCGATTGAATGAGGTGGGTAATCCTGTAAATAATCAGTTAAATAGAATAATAGTGTAAACACCTGGTTACATTCCCAGTCGGAAAGTTTAAGTCTGTTCTGATCATGTGCGTCACGTCATAGTGAAAGTTTATACCGTTCAACATGGCGGAGCAGAAACTGGGGAGCAACTGGGGGTTGGGTGCGTTGCTCAAGGGCACTGTCAGCCGAGGGGATCAAACCGGCAACCTTCCGGTCACAGGGCTGGTTCCCTAACCTCCAGCCCACAACTGCCCCTCTGGAATTGAGAAAAAATATGCAGTCACGGGGACTTCTGTCCCCACACTCTGAGTCCAGACCACAATTTGAAAACCTCTGGCTCTAGAAATGGTGTTACTGTGAGTAGTTTATGTAGATTCCATTAGTCTTTCCCTCTAGATGTAAATGTTAACTAGAAATCTCTACTTTGGAATGGTGGCCCAGTGTTATGTCTAATATTAAGTTGTAAATAATGTGTTCTGAAAAAATCTTAACATTTATTGCCTTATAAGGTATATTTCAGTAAACCTGCACTGATGTTTAATATTTCTTCCATTTGCGTATTCAGAAGCTTTTTAAATCCATGCCAAATAAAATATTGTAACTGTGCCATGTGTTTTTTCAATTTCTATGTTAAGCCTTCTCTTTATTTTGCTCAGTTAGTGTGACAGAAACAAGAAAATCTGCCAGGCAGCTACACCATACTGGACCTCCTGTAGAGATCTGTACTACTGTTTTATGTGGCCATAAAATGGTATGTATTATTTTCACTTTTAGATATTTGTGTAATTCATATCTCAAGCACTGTCTGTGGGAGGGCAGATGGTGGTGGATTCTGTTTCCACTGTACATTGCTACTGTAATTGATCATTTGTAGCTGCTTGTAGCCCCGCTTCCGTTTGTGACGTAACCGAGGTAATTTTTTCATTTTGTAATGTAGAATGTAGACAGTAATGTGGACAGCAACATTTCAAAAGTGAACATCTTGGACAATGGTAGTGTCAGGGTTTCGCACCTCACTTTTTATCTCTTCTTAATTTATACATTTATATTTAGGTTATTGCTAAATAGTTCAGTTTAGGCTGTTTTAAAGTTAAGCAGAAGGAGATTAAGTGTTGGTGTTTGTTATTTAACAACTTGATGTTGTTTTAATTTTAATCTAAAAAATTTAAAACAGAATGTTGAAAACGATGTGTTGAAATTTGAAGCTATATCACTGATACGCCTCCCAGCCTCACAGTTTCAGCATCTCTCATTTAATGTCTTTAATGAAAGCCTCTGTCAGTGGTCAGAGCCTCTAGGTGCATCCTTAATTAAATAAAACAAATATCGAGGTGCAGTGTGAGGGAAGGGGAGGGCTTATCCTATAGACTAGTACTAGTGAGTGCTATACCGGTTCATTCGGTATACTGGTTTAAATTCTTCTTAAGGTACAAGTTTTGTCATAATCTTTATCCTGGGATGTCATAAATAACCAGAGTGCCTGAGATCACACAGTGTGCTTGCCTGAGACCACCACAAAACGCACTAAGCACTGTGGTAGTGCTAGCTATACAAAGACGGTTTAGGACTGGGAAAGACAGATATGCAGGGTAGATAAAGAAAGACTGCAGATGCTGAAGAGAGTAGCTCTGTTAGTTATTTAGATTTTTAAAAATGGATAGAAAGCAAAACACTGTAAAATATACAGAGCCATTGCTGTGGCTGGTGGTGGGTGAATACCAGGACAGTTTTAATCGCGTTCATTGTCGAGATCAGTAAAAGACAAAAGCCTGAGGGTCAAGCATACACGTAGGCCGCACCGGAAGAATCATTTTCATGAAAAAGCAAACAATGGAGTGAAATGACAAACACAGTGCCAGTGCTTTTATGCACGGACACGGTTCTGATGCAAACAGTCTGTCGAGAAAGACTGTATGTCATCCCAGGGTGAAAGTATTTAAGCCAAACAGCTATCCTGAAGTTATACCGGTACCTTAATATCTCAGTTGATGAGCCACTGATAATTGGTAGCTTTCTGAATAGCATACTTTATGTCTTTATGCCATATTTGTATTATGAAGGAAAATAAAGGGAAATTAAAAACAGTATTATTCGTGCACACGTTTCAAAAGATATTGACGTAGGATTATCCCAGTGTAGCCTTGTGCATTATAAATGTTTTAGATTTATTTCAGTTGAAAAAATATGGTATTTTTGAAAAGTGGAAGGTACAACCCAGTATAATAAACCACTGTTGATCTACAAAAATAGATTTACTTAAACATCTAAAATCTGTCTATTCAATTATACCATGATGTTGGCCATTTCCCCTAGGGGTTTATTTTGTTAGAGGTCAGCATGGCAGGTATTAATAAAGCTTTGCATATACGAACTACGAATTAATAGAATGTCCAAGAAGAAAAAGAGTGGTGTTTGTTGTCTTCAAGACAATTTCAAAACGTAAAATATCAAAAATGAAATCGAATCTTGATCTTTGAATCAAAAATCAGATTGAACCTAAAAATATGTGTGTTGTTACGAGGGACAGACTAATGAAAATGTTATGATTGATGTGAAGAACAATTCATGTAAGTTAATGTTATTACTGGGCTGGTAAGGTTAACTGAGGTAACAGGCTGTTGACATTTGTCTGTTTATCTTAAGTACTTGCCTTTGACTGTCTTTGTCTGTGTACATTTCACAGTACACTTCACATACTATGGCTTTTTATGGTCTGGCTCCGGACTTGATGGAGTAACAGAGAGAAGCTGAGTGGCTCTCAAAGACATTTAGCAGTGCTTTAAGTCAGTGTTTTTAGGTATTTAAATTTACCCCTTTGTTATTGGAAATATTTTTGCTGATACCAATAAAACCTTTGGTCTCCCATATCAGTCAGTGTTATCAGGATGCTGTAATCAAATCAGCTTGTGATAAGCTTTTGGCCTCATTGTATTTTTAACATACATTCAGGGTGGAGAGGTGCGTGCAGGGTGTTGTATGGTAAATTGTCCTGAAATAAAACTCTATATTGGCCGTATGGCCTGTTTGCAGTGTAGTCATTGAGACCCATATCACCACCACGGTAAAGAAATCTGAGTTTCTCTCCAGTGAACCTTTTCATATTAAACCACTTTGAATGACTGTTTACAACGAACAGAATTACACTGAAACTTTCCCCCATTAAGAGCCAAGCATAAGACTTGTTTGTGGACTATGCTAATTTGTGGTGGAGGTGGTTTCGCAGATTTTTTGGGCATAATTTGCGATTGTTGCTGAATAATATTCCCCCTCCTCCTTTCTCTCTCTTTTTACCCTTATGACATTCTACACCTTTAGTGTTATAACATGAATTTTTGAAATATGCTGGTCTGTTAAATCACTGAGTTTTAGTGACAGTGTTTGTCTGTGCTCTGCTTGCAGGCGCTGAGTGGACTGATGACGTCATGTCTTTGTTGGGTCTCGCGCTTTGTGAGGCCTCCCTGCCGCACCGGGCCAAACGAGTTCCTATAGCAACCAGAGGCACGCGTGGGATGGCCTACATGGAGCTGAGCTGAGTTTATATAAGGAGCGATCACTGTGACAACCAGCTGAGGTTGGCACGCACGCACACACAAATTCATACATTTACACACACCAGTGATTAAACGAGCTGCATAGCAGCACTCGCCCTTTTCGAAATGAACAATTTATGAACCAGATTGTGTCATTTCACAGCCAGATTATTTCTTTTTGTACAAGTGCAATTGAATAGCCAGGAATAGAGAACAGCATTGTGGATCTCACCTTCTAGTGAAGAAATTACCCGTGAAGGTCCAGGAGCGGCAAATTCCGTTCTGTTTGTATTTATATACGGTATCCAAACATGTCTAGCGCATAAAGTTAGGGGCTCTTCCCAAAAAGCACCTACACAGCTGATTTAAAGCTCCCGAGCGCAGCTCATCATTTCAGTAAGCTCCTCAGTGCGTGTGCTGAAAGTGCATTATCCTGTGAAGACCACCCTCTCTCTGCCCTTTCTCTGCTGAAGAAAGTCCTTGTGGAAAAAGCAGTTCTTTGTTTGACGCAGACGCGACTGGTGAGATGGCTGTCCTTTCCTGATGTGCGAGAGACAAATTTTTACCATCTGCGCTTGACATTCCTTGCAGAAAGGGTTAAAATGATGCTGCTTCACCTCTCTCTTTCTCCCTCCCTCTCTCGCTCTCTCTCCCTCTCCTTCTCTTTCCCTATTCCTCTTTTAGTCTACCTCTTTTTCCCTGTCTCTCTCCCTCACCTTCTCTCCTTCTCTCACTTTCTCTCTCTCTCTCTCTCTCTTGCTCCTATCTTTCTCTATCTATATATATTTCCCCCTCTCACTATGTATATATATATATATTTACCCCCCCCTCTCTCTCTCTCTCTCTCTCGCTCACGCTCCCTCTCCCTCTCCCTCTCCCTATCTCTCCCCTCTTTCTCTTCCCCTTTTCTTCACTCCTACATATATATGTATTTCCCTCTCTCTCTCTCTCTCTCCCTATCCCTCCTCTCTCTCTTCCACACACTAACAATCTATATCAGTCTCCCTCGCCTCTATATTTCTCTATTTCCTATTCTTCACTTTCTCTGTCTTCCTCTGCTTCACTCCTTCACTCCCTTTCCCTCTCTCTATCTCTCTCTCTCTCTCTCTCCCCCTCTCTCTCCCCCCTGTTACTTGTCCTCATGCGGTACAAAGGCATCCGTCTCTCTCTCCATTCTCTGTCCAGTAGAGTTACTCCTGCAGTTTCTCTCAGTCGTTCAGGTTAGGGTGCGCATGAGGGAATGAATAATGTGATTTAAGTCGGGTGACTTGCTGGTGAGCCCTCCCTCCCCCCAACCCCACCAGCTCATCCAAGGGTCACTTGGGCTGAAATACACAAGTGCGTATCCACGTGGGATGTCCTGGAGTGGATTATGTAATAGAGTTAGACATTGTGACTCAGGTCTTAGCCAACTATGTGTATATGTGTGGTTTAGCAGAACGTGTGTGTGGCCTTGTCCCTTTAAGTAGCCCAGAACTAATCCTTTCATCTTCTTTCACTTCCTCCTCCTCTCTCTGCTCTCTCTCTCAGGGAACAGTTGCCATGTATTGTTATTAAGATGTTTTATTTATCAGAAGCTTAAATGGGTTTTCTAGAGGTGTAAAAATGCATCAGTGTGTTATGATTGAATTAATTGGTTTTGGGATGTGAGAATCGATTAATTTATTGTGCAGTAACGTGTCCGCTGACCAACATTTTGGCCCCATATTTCGAACGTGTTCAAAAGGGTTCTTCTATTGTTACAATGTCAAGCTCATAACAATAGAAGAACCCTTTTTGGTGCTATATAAAACCCTTTTCAAAAAGGTTCTATACAGACCATTTATACCAGATTCTCCATCAATCAGCAATATATCGCTGCTGTCGGAAGAAACCCTTGTATCTCCATTTTTGTTTTTCAGTTTTTGACATAATTTGAAAATACCTGTTGTCCTTTACAGTGTTTGTAAATTTTATGATGAATGGACCAAAAGAAACAGCTCAGAAATGACTTTGGAAAATGTCTGGTTCCATTGACTTACATTAGAAGTAAAGTATGTTTTTTCCTTCTCCTGTAAAGTTACCATTTTGAAGATATGAGGTTTTCTTCTGACAACAACGATATGCAAAGGTTCTATATAGAATCATTGTCTTTACTAAAGATCCCTTGAAGAACCATCCTTTTTAAAGAGTGTAACGTGTTTTCTCCCATGCACAGGACCTTCACTCCCATCAAATAAATGTTATGTTTTGGGCAGGGATCGAGCTAATTGCACAAGTCATGTTTGTTTGGCTAGAGTGTGCTTGTGCATCGGAACAAAAACTGTGCAAAATGTATACAGTCATCATCTGAATGTTTGATGTGTTTGCGAGGCTGAATGTGCAAAATTATATTACCCAAGTACATTGTGCTTTTTGCCAGCTGCGCTGTTCAACCTCGACATGTTCTCACCTTTCCTTTCACGGTGGAAGTGAAGGCGGGCGCTGCCTAATGCCGAAAGGCAGATTTGAATGGATTTACTCGACATCCACACTATACCAATATCGCTGCAGGCGGGACAGAAAAAGACCATAGAGGTGCTGGTTGGTTGTACTCGATGCGTCATACACATTTCAGGCAGTCCTGTAACTCTGTGGGCATGACATTGGGCCAGACTACTATACAAGTATGTTTTTTGATCGTGGGCACATCAGATGTGTGCATATACAACAAAAAATGCTTTTACTGACAGGGAAGCAAATTCAAAAGCTGATTCTGATATTCAGAAAATTGCCTAATTTTGGCTCCGACTAACGGTCGGGTCGATTATCGATTGACCCTGTAATTTTAACACTAGATCTAAATGTTGTGTTTTTCTAGTTTAGGATAAATACGTAATCAAATATTGTTTCAAAATATTGGTCAAATTTAAGCATCTAGTGTCAATAATATTTTTATCAATTATCTGCTGATATCAATATGACTCTGGTATCATTGTGCATCCCTAGTTTTCACCTCTAGTATTATTGCATTACTGTAGTGGTTTCACTACCTTTTGAATATTTGTCTCAGAGTGAAAACATGCTTGTGCTTACTTTAGGGTATAATGTGAAGGCCTGAAATGCACATCTCCTCCTTACAATCGCTCTCACACACACTTATACTCATGCGGTGCCTTGTCGTGTGAGTTCACATTAGTTGTTATTGTTATGCTGTATTCAGCCCAGCTGTTAAAATCTCTACAGACTCTGTTCAGTGCACTGTCACCCCAGTTAGACCGATCTGCAGTCTGTGACCGCTGCATGTAGCAAGTAGCATTCAGTTGGAGTTAGACTGCATTGCGTCGATGGCAGACTCAGGTATGTTAGAGCTGGAATTGATGCTAAAACATATCAGTCAGCTCATTCACGACAATCATGCTGGGGAAAATGTTTTTCTTGATTTGACTGTATTTGTACAAAGATCTGCCATGATGTATGATACAGTCAAGTGTACCTGAAAAGCAATTTCACTACTAGAAATGTCATATGATCACTGCATGTAAGGAATAAAGTACTCAACTAAATCGATATGGCGATTAATTCAGAAAAATTGCTATTACAGTTATTTCCACAGTGACTTTAAAGCAGGGTTTGACATAAGCAGTGGCCCAATGGCCCGGGCCAGTAAAAAAGTGTGGTGGGCAAGTTGATTGGCCAGTCAGTTGCTGTGGCTCATTTAAAGGACGGTTTCTAGGCAGAATGTGTCCTTTGCAGCTTCCGCGAACCTGAAGTGAACACGTTTATGGTTAGCGATTCCATTGTTGCAGTATATTTGTGATATGAAAGAGCTCTTATACCCGCACCTGTAAAGGCAAACCTGCTCAGCAGATCTCCTTTCAAATTCATTCATTCTGGTATAAACGTAGCTTTTCTCTGCAGCTAGGGCCAAATGATACAGCCTGTCGAGCATTCATAACTACAGCAGCTTTGCAACTCTTAACCCCTGATCAACTGTGAGGCTGACAGTTTGGGGTGTTTTAGCGTTGGATGAGGGGTAAGGAAGGCAGCTGTAGAGATAAATAAAAAGAGACGGGACATAAAACTGAAATTAAACGAATAAAACAAGACAGCTTGCAGTATTGTTGCGCCTGTGATAAGGTTCTATGCAAAGCTGTTTTCAAATTAGCTAACGATGTGACTGCCCTGTCTGCTCCACTCAGCTGTGTAGTTCAGCTTAGTAATGCTAGCCTGCGTTCACCTGTTCTTTTTTAATTAAAAGCTGTGTTTTGGGTTCAGTTGTGTTGGCTTTGCCTCCCTTGCTGTTCGCCAGCTTTGCTAAGATAATATTCATATTAAAAATAATAATAATAAAACATTAATAAATAAAAATCTATATTAAATTCTTTAAAATGTTCTGATGGAAAATGAATCAGTTCTGTGGTGTTTGAACAAATCATTACAATGTATATGTGATTAATAAATTAACAGTTTTATGAAAAAGTGTTCTTTTTTTCCGGGCCAGTAAAATTATACAAGGCGCCAGTAATGCTGCTTTAAAACATTGACATTTTAGAGCCTCTAGAAGAAAACAAAGAAAAAATACAGTTCTGTTTGCTTTATAAGAACATATATAAACAATAACAAAACAGTAACAACAGTGCACATTTTAGTATTCAGTAACTGACAGTGCTTCACTTGGGAGATTTGGGAATCTTCTGAGTGGCTGTTTCTCAATGATTAGCCCACACTCTTTGTATGCGTGTAGGTTTAGAAGGAGATTATCTCAACTAAGAGCTAAGGTACGCTGCAGGATCACATTGAGAAGATGCTCTGGGTACAAATATGTTGGTTCGCCAGCCTAGGAATAGCAAATGAAAGTCTGTGAGTTGGATTGAGAAGATATTGTACAGGATAACTCATTTGTTGAGCTTAATCTCCAAATGGGAAATTTGATTGTCACTGTACATTCGCAGTCAGTTATCTACTGTGACTCTTGGTTGTTAGTGTAAACTTACTCAACCATATAAAAACACACAGGAAAATGTAAAATGCCCCCCCACACACTTTTTGGCCATGCTGTGGAGCTTAGCTTCAGTCCTTATCTAACCCTCCTGACCCAACTAATCAGGTCTTCAGGAGCTTCTAGGAGTATGCTTGGACACATTAGGAGTGCATTTGGGCTCTACACTCTAACAGTTGGATTGGGCTATACACATTAAAAGTGCTTTTCAGCTAGACAGTGTGGTTTGTTAAAAAAGCTGAGATTTCACATTTTTTCATATTCCCAGTACTAAGTGAAGTGTACCATACCTGATAACCTGTGTGGTTAAATTTTGGCATTCTTGCCAGGTTACCAAGAGTACCATACTGGGACATACGGGTGGAGCTAGAAATTATGAGTCCATTGATTGGTCAGTTGCAGTGATGACAGAATCCCAGACTCTATACAAGAACTTTCATGTCTGGATATCCACAGATTTGGCTTGATTCTGCTCTAAAGCTGATACGTGCCTCATACCACATAATACTCCAGAAGGTGGCTCCGAAAAACGAAAAGAAATTCTCTTGTATATTTAAATCTGCAATTAGTGCTTCTAGTCAGGAGATTAAGGAGATTATTAACAATCATTGGCACAATTTACCAACTAACGATCACTTATCAGATCGTTTTACAGATCCTCCCCTCTGTGTCTTCTCTAGAGGAAAAAATGTAAGAGACAAATTGGCATGCAGAAACATATCA